GTATAAAAAGTAAGCAACAACCAAAGAACTATAATGTGAAGCGCTTATCGGATTTTGGAACATAGACTTAAGTGCAATTACAAAGCCGGCTCAAAACATTCCACTTAGATCTAGGAATAAAATCATTCCCGGAACCTCAACCCCCGCAAGGGTAAGGCCTAAGGTCAGATAATCCGATCAAGAAAAAATGTTCTAAGCCAAGAAATGCAATCGACATAAGTCCAGTCTAAAATCCAGAAAAGCCCAACTAAAGAATGAATAAAATAACATGTGCAAAAATAATCCAAGTGAGCCAAGTAGAGCCCAAAACTGGAAAAGCCCAAACCATGAAGGAAGGCATGTGTGCTAGCCCAAATCCGCATCTGAAGCCCGGCCTGAGGAGGCCCAAACCATGAGAGTCCAATAAAATTAGCCCAATCATCAGGCCCAAACAGAAACCCAATCTCGAATGGAAGCCCAATCTCTCCCAAGCCAGCCCAAGAGCCGCTGGCCAGTCCAAGCCCCGTGCCCAGCGCCCGTCCAAATCAGCCCAAGCCCAGCACCAGGCCGTCCAACCATCAGCGACCAGCCCAAGTGCAATCGGTCCAATCCGCCAAGGTGAGCAGCCCATCCGTGAAGCCCGAAGCCCAACGCCAATGCCACGGCCCAACTAGAAGTCTCAACCCAACCAAATCCAAGTAGTCCAGCCGAGTAGAAATCCAAGAAAGTCCGAAATCCAAGAAAATAACCAGTGAAGCAGTCTCAAGAAAGTCCAAATCCACAATGATGAAGATGAAAAGTGAAGAGATTCCAAGAGAGGAGAGGTACCACTATGGGTCAGTGGCCAACCCTTAGCCCATTACCGCCGACAGATAGCGGGTGCTCTAACCTCACGCGCAAGCACTGATGCAGGCGGAAGAAACCTCGTCGGGCCCCACCCAGCCTCCCAACGAGGGCACCGATTTGATGACGGTACCACGCATACGCACTTTCCGTGTGCGCCACGGGTGCTCAAATCCACAATCCGCAAGCACTGACGGGCATCCTTTACCGCGGACGCATACGTGCGCCTTTTGACCGCAGGCGCGGTCGTTAAGGCACTCAGATGAAGTGCAAGATGGAAAAAGCCTTTACCGGACAGCCACCTCTGCCCGGGCTAGGATGCCAAATACCGCTGGCAACTACGGGCGCTAAAAACCCAGACGCAAGCGCCGACGTACCCCAGGAGCCGCAGGAGTCGACGGGGGCGAAAGAAACTCTGCGAAACTACGCCCGTCATCTCGCAAAGGCACCGTTCAC